ACAAAACCAGTAACAATGACATGTATTAATGTACTTTATAACAACACCCAAGTTCATATGCAGCCACTTGCTTCTTTAAGAAGTACTATTAAATTGTTTCTCCCCCCAGACCCCCACCCTTTGAGGACAATTTGGCATTTTACTACAGGTTAGTTCCGGATTCTGAAAAACATTTAAATTATGGTGAATCATTCTTCCTACTGTATTCCATTACAGAGCTATAAAAAAGTCAATAGCCAAGGCAGTTTGAGCATTACATCAGGGAATTAATCTTTACCCCACATACCTCCCGATAGCATGCTCAATGCCCAGGAAGGAGCGGAATGTCAACATCGACGCCTATTGGTACCTCAGTCAGAAATCCTGTTAACACTACCTTCCCCAAAATCATTTTCAGGCAGATAAAGTGGAATGACTGCAGATACATTTTTTTTTTTTAATCTCTTTTCACAGCTGTATAGAAATAGAATGCTCTTCCAGGAGCCATCACAGACTTTACTCTGTTGAATGTGAATAAAGACTTTTTGGTTCAAATTTTTGCAAACTTTGTAACTTTGGTGAGCACTTTTCCTCTAAAGAACCAAGTGCCTGTGAAAACAGTGTCAACTGTTCAACAGTTTCACTGTTGCATGGAGAGAAGGAGAGGGATGTGCTGCAGTGCTGAGCATTCTCATGGCCATTTAACTTCTGTGATATAATTATCAAGAGGGATGATGGAGCACTGTAGTGTGTTGAATCCCAGTCACCTGGAGGAAGCACTGTTCTTTGATGTACTACTAACAAAGAAAAACACTGCCAATTAAATTATGACACGCCATTGATTGTGGAACACACTTTGACTTCAGAGATGTGAAAAATGTGGAAAATGTGTGCGCCTGAGAACCAGTGAGCTATGAGAGTTAAAGGGAGCCGGGGATTTACTCTTTGTTTCTTGCAATAATAAGCCTTAGAGTGCACCCAGTGCTAGCCTTGAGTCTGTTCTTCCTTTGGACAGCTTGCATCTTTTCCAGGATTCACAGCTAGGCAGGTTTGGGAACAACCAAAAAGCAAGCCAAATACTTCCTGTGGTCTTTTTCAAAGGCGTCTCCTGGACTAAGTTACCAGATAAAAGACAGGAAGAAGTCTAGTTAAGTCTGAATTTCAATATCAAACAAATGATACTTATTAGTAAGAGTACATCCCAAATACTGCATAAGATACACAAGACACTCATTTCGTTTGTTTTCGTATTTTTATTCGCTAACTCTGGTGGCCATGCTGCCGGGGTAATTTGACTGCATTTGACCATTACCACATGCTTTGACTCTAGGACCTTGACCTTTACCTCTGAGTAGCCTCCATTAATACCTTTTTCACTCCTTACAACAACCCTGAGAGTTAGGGATTATTGTAAGTCAATTTAAATCTGAAGGAGCTAAATTTCCTCCTCAGGCTTGAATGTGTCAGTTGATTCCTTAGTATGGGCCTGATTTTTGACCATAGCTCTTAATCCTTTTACAGGGTATTTAAGACACATACCACTGGGGAACCATGAAGGTAGGAAAGGCACTTTTACTCCCAGCCGTAACAACATCTCTGGGTTGGTCAGTGGTCACTGTCATGGGGACAGTGTATCTAGCCTAATAATAGTTGTTTGCTGTTGCTTTGACTACTAATATGTGCCAAGCACATTGCTACTCACAACTCTTACTGCTCCCTTTTTACAGCGGGGGAAACTAAGGCACAAAGAGGTTAGGGGGCTTGCCCCCTCTTTGTCAAAGTCTGGGCCTAACCTCATCTTCTTGGAGAGAGGTTGCTGGATGTTCCTTAGATAACCCCCTCTCCCCTATCACTCTTTATTATAGCACTCTGTTTCTTTACCAAACTAAGTTGACTCTCAGAAGTTTTTCAAACTAGGTCGTGCCCGCCCGGCAGCAGCCCTCTCATTTGGAAATGCCCCTCTCATTCATAACTAACCATTTTGGTGTCTACTCTCCCTACCCGGGTCCCCTGAGGACAGTAAAGGGGTCTGTTTCAGTGTGCTAACACCAAGGCTACCCCTTAGCATCGCAGAAACAGAATAAATACCTTGTGCTTTAATAAGTAGTCACTGCCTTTCCCTGTGGGCAGCCTAAATTAATCTGGAGGGTTCATCTGAAGTGAACAGCCCCCCCCCCCACCACCACAGTAAAGCTTCCTCAAGGCATGTAGCACCTTCTGGATGAACTACCATTTGAGGTCCTTAGAGTTTATCTCTGCTAGCCTGCAATAACTTGCAGCCACCAGGTTCTTGGGTTGCCTCATGGAAACAGAAATGTACTCCAAATGACAGTGTGTTTAATTTCCAAGTCACCTGGGTGGCTCTCCTGAGACACAAGCCTTGTTCACCAGGGTCGTTCCTGGGCTCCCTATTTTTGCTGAGACTGAAAATTCATTCAAAGACTCCTGAACTAGATCAGCATCCTAGTGTTGCTGGGACAAGCCCGTGGCTCAGACACTCTGATAGAATGAGAATAGAAGAAAAGCAGTTCTAGAGCAGGGTTTTCAAAGAGCCTCTGCTCTGTGGATAGGGTGACAAGCAATGGGCTTAAAGGCAAATGTAGCATTTCTCTGTACATGGGTTCTATCTATACACATATACATTTCCCCCAAATGCAGTGCTTCTCAACAGTAAGTGCACCTTAGAATTAGCTGAGAAATTTGAAAAAATCCCCAAACTCGGGCCATCCCCAGACAAATTAAATCAGAATCCCTTGGATGGACCCAGGCTATAGCGTTTTGTTTTTTGTTTTTTGTTTTTTTTGTTTTTTTTTTTTTTTCAGTTCCCCAGGTGATGCCAGTGGGCAGCCAACACTGAACACTGCTGTTCCAAAGAAAGCCACACGCTTCCATCTGGGACTTTTAGGAGGGAAACCTCTACATTTTTAAAACCATATACAACAGAACTTTGCGAATATGATTAGCTTTTGTTTTATTTCCTACCTCGCATGAACAACTTCGAAGTGTCGGCACAACGTTGCCATCTGTAAGGCATACGACAATAACAGACGGTCGCCTAATAATCAGGGAGGCGTTAATGCTCACAGGCTCTAGATTATTTGGATTCATCTGGTATGATCTGTGGTGAGGAAGCCACTTGATGCTTGATTTCTGTGCCTTTTCCATGGCAGCACTGGAAGAGGGAAGCCATATTTTCCAGGCTGTATATTAGTGTTCTTTGTCATCCTATTGAATTGTTACAAGATGGATTTATAACAGACCCAAAGCTAGTATCCAGATGAGAATTAGTTCTTGAGTAGAAAAATAGCAATCCCATTTGCCTCGCCTGTAGCAACTGCGTCGTATCTGCCTCCACAAGGAAGGAAATGACTTCTTAATGTGGTTTTCTTCCACTAAGGAGAATTAAATCTATGTGGCAAAATGTAAAACCAGAGTGCTGGCAGCCATATTCTGAATGGAAGATCCATAACCCTCATCAACATATTTGTGGCCCAGTTATATGCTAATGAACCTCATTTAGGCTCAAACCCACCCCAAGTGGAAATACAGCTCAGCTAGAGAGCCAGGCTGTCATGTTCCTTCACTGTTTCGCCTTGTGCGTCAAAGTTTGCTCTGAACTACTGGGGAAATTTCTCCATCTGCTGCAAGGGGCCACGCGGTTGGGGGTGGAGTGGGGGTGGGGTGGGGTGGGGATGGGGTGTCTCTGGGTTAGATTTACAGAGATTTGGGCCTGAGGTAGGAAACTCCACTATGGTAGTGGAGAGACTTTTTGCTGAGGCAGCAGGATACTTTTCAAAGGATCTGCCTTTTAGGGGGAATGCCCCTGGCGCACTGAGCTGGCCACTCTTTGGTGGCCTGGCAGTTCCTCTAGGATAGATAAAATGGCAAAAGTTGTCGGGAACAACTCTGCCCCTGCCTAGCTGGGCGATCAGTTTGGCAAGCGAAGGAACTTCCTTGGATCTCAATTTCTTCCTTGGTAAGATGGTGCCAAGTATTGCCAGTCTTGTGTATAGATTATGGTACAGAGTAAATGAAATGATACGCTTCAAAGAAACTACCCGTTCGTATCATAAATACCAGCCATCATTGGTGCTGTTAAATCATTTACCTCAATCTCTTCAAATGACTTACCAAATACTACACTGCGCATCCTATGAATTTATACCTTTAGCATTTTACAATGGATAAAGGCCCACACAGGAATAACAAATCTAGTTAATAAAACTGAATTGCAATAGGAGAATAAGGGGGAAAATTGAGCTCTTCTAATGAAAAGTTCTGAGAACATGCTGTCTGATAGAATTGACATTTTATTTACTCTCTCTGTAAATCTGAGACATATACAAGATGTTTTAAAAAAATAAATGTGGGTATTTGAAGAGGATTTTAAAATGATTCAGTTGACTTAGATCAATTGTTAATTTTTTTATGTTTTCTAATTTTTTTAACTGCCTCCTTAAGCCTCTTTTAATGGATATGCTCTTATTTCTCACTCATTACTCATGGCTCCTGTACTATTATCATCACAGATTTGCTTGTGTTATTTTGGTTCACTGAACAAAATGGCTCAGAGCTCATAGAAGAGAGACTAACCAAAGAGACGAGTAGGTAAACCGCAGGTCAGCTTGGGGGAATGGTTATGGGTAGGCGGCCAACTCCATGCCTTCAGTGTCTGGTGAGTAAAATAAGTGAATGATGCCAGCCAAGCCTAAAATTACAGAGTGGTGGGGATTATGGAAAATGGGAGGATGCTCCCCAGTCTGTGACCCCCACTCACAGCCTCCACAGACAAGACAAGGCGTGGAATGGGCCACAGAGTAACCTAATCTGGTTATTTTATTACAAAAGCTGGAAATGTGGATTCTTACATGACACCTCCCCATTTTTCAAATCTGGGCAACCGGGTGCAATGAAAAGACACATAACCTTCTGATTTGCAAATTGTGTTCAGCCCACAACACTTGTTCAGGTCCTCTTGGGAAGGACCCATTAATGAGCCTATTCCATTGTTTTCTCCAAAGCTCCAGAAACATGACAAGGAGGAGGAGGACTCCCCAACCTTGTGGAGGTCCGAGGAGGAAATGGCAGCAGAAGCCTCAATGCTGCGGGCCTACTTTCAGTGACTGTGCAGGTAAACACCGGGCACTTCATCATCACTCACACCCTCCATGGGGCCCCAGAAGGAGGCTCCCTGCCCAGGATGGGGATGTAGACAAGCAGGTGCAGTGCAGGGGGTTCAAAGACATGAAAGCCAGAGTGGAGAAAACCCTGACCCTCAAGGCACGGATTCCTACCTATGGGTTTCCTTTGCCTCCCTGCCTCCACCCACCTTCTATGGGACTCTCCTGTCTGTTTGCTTCCTTCCAGTCCACCTCATGTCACTGTCCTGCCCTTCTCCAACCCAACCTCACCAAGCAGGCCAAGACAGTTTGCAATCCTTTAAAAAGCCAAAACCCTTCAAGAGCTCAAGTCTCAGATTCCCACCTTGGGCTGTAAGGCACTGTGAGCCAGTTCACGACCTCCTGACAGGATCAGTGTTTCTTCCACTTGGATCTCTTCTCCTCAGCTAAATAGCCTTTTTTTTTTTTTTTAATTTTAAGATTTATTTATTTTAGAGAGGAGGGGCAGAGGGAGGGAGAGGATCTCAAGCAGACTCTGCAACTGAGCCTGATTTGAGGCTCGATCTCACAACCCTGAGATCATGACCTGAGCCAAAATCAAGAGTCAGATGCTCAACCAACTGAGCCATCCAGACACCCCTGGTTTTGTGTTTTCCTTTAGTTTTGGCTGCTAGGAAGCTCAAGGGCACAGGGAAAGGTCAGACATGATAGAATTATTTCTTTGCATTAGTGAATGTTTAACTGTTGGGAGATCACAGATTTAAGATTCTGGTAGAAAGCTATAGCCAGTCTCCTTTTTCAAAATGTGTATATACACGAAATTTTTATGCGATGTCCAGGGCCTCATGGGGGATCTTCTGAAATGCTCTAATAAATGGGGTTGCCATGAAATATTGGGGCACCCCTAGGCTAAAAAATACCATGTATCCTGCATTTTATTTGTCAGCCCTGTTAATAAACCTCTTTCCATGGACCTCAGATAAAGCACCTCTCCCCTGAATAGTTTCTTTTTCCTTTTTGGAATAGGCTGCTTCATGTGGTCTTGTGTTTATATTATAAGCTGCTAAGGTAGATCAGACACAAATTAAAAACACAATTAGTGAATATTGGTAGCAATTGAATTATATAAAATTGTATCCACCACTTAGTGATCATGATTTTTAGGTAGAAACCACGTTCATTGTATTCTGTTTTCACTTTGAAATAGACATCTCTTTTAGTTAGTTTTTAATATATGTGCATTTCTTGGGCACCCTCCCCCCACCCTCCGTTTTAAAGTATCCTAATTACTTAAAGACCCGGTATCCCCTACCTTTCCCCCATTATTGTTCAAGTATGTTGTAGTGTTCAGGCACTTGCATTCTAGAATGCTAATTTTATTGGAGAATGAAATTGGAAGATGTCATTGGTTTGTCAGCTCTGCATCCAGTTGCCTGAAGGATACAGTGTAGTGCTAGCAGAAGCTGTCTTTGATCATTTATTCTGAACCTTTTCCACTGCTCACCTTCTCGTTCCTTCCTTCCCTCCTTCCTTGCTCCGGATCAAGCTAGTCTGCCTACGAACAAAGACCCATAGCCATAGCTGCAGACCCCTTTCTATTCATCTTATGAGAGCCAGTGTGTCATTTTGGAATGTCCCATTCAAATGGAGTCACTGGTCTTCAGACTCAACTTACTAGGCTTGCCCCCCCCCCGCCCCCACCGGCCCGGGTTTCTTATGTAATGGGTACACGTTCAGATAGAGGTGAGAAAGCTCTAGGTTTTTCCTGAGGCTTGCTGAATTGTAGGATTCTGTGTTAGAATGCATTTTCTAGACGTTTTAAGAGGATTTAAACTTAGTACCCAAGTTTCCTATATGCTTTGCTTTGTCAGTTTTTGCTTCTGTCCTGCCTTGAGGCCTAATATCTCCGGTCTTCTGGGTGAATCAACTTGCCTTGTAAATCTGGCCAGAAAGAGTCATCCTAACTTGCTTTACAAATTATTGCCACAGTGCCTGTGGGTTTTTAAATTCATTAACATTAAGATCTGCCTTTACAGGTCTTTGTTACAGACCAAACAAATCACCTTCAGTGTTCTCAGTGGTCAGATGGGGCAATGAAGAAAAGGAGGGATGGATGACATGTGTTGCCAAATAGCGCAGCTAGTAACTTGGAGACTAGGGACTGAAACAGAGGGTTCTAGGATTTCACCAAGAGCATCCCCTTCCCTAAAGGAACCAGAGGGGCGCCGGGGTGGTGCAGTCAGTCAAGTGTCCGACCCTTGGTTTCGGATCAGGTCCTGATGTCCGGGTTGTGGGCTCAAGCCCTGGGTCACGCTCTGCGCTCAGCACGGAGTCTGCTTGAGATTCTCTGTCCTCCTCCTTCAGCCCCTCCCCCCACCCCCTCTCTAAAAATTAATCTTTAAAGGGACTATATATACTTCCCTTTAGAGACAAAGGGGGAAGGGAACGTTGTTTACTGGAAACGTTAAGTTGGTCCACCTGGTTCTTGAGACCCCTCTCCTTCCCTTTCAAAATGCATCTACACACCAAATGTTTATACAATGTTAAGGGGTTTACCGTACTTCTAAACATTTCATCAAATAAATAGGGCTCTCATGGGGCACCTGGGTGGCTCAGGTCATGATCCCAGAGTTCCAGGATCAGACCCCACATAGGGCTTCCTTCTCGGCAGAGAGCCTGCTTCTCCCTCTGCCCCCCACCCCACTCATGCTGTCTCTCTCAAATAAATAAAATATAAATAAATAAATAGGTAGATAGGGCTGTCATACAATATTTGAGTATACCTAGACCTGAAGAAGTATTCGTTGTTTATCTGAACTTCAGATAAACTTGGCCTAAGGTCTCCCCATTTATACCCTCAGCAGCAAGTCAGTCTTAGGCAGAGCCAGTGTCGAGATGCTGATGTCGCTCACTCAGCAAGACTGCACAATTTGCAACATGCACAGGGGTAGAGACACTAGCCTGCAGCGCTGGCATCGGTAACAATAGCCAGCATTACCGAATGTAGAACGCACAGGTTCTATGATCCCATCTTGCAGAGGATGAGAAAACCGGGACTCAGTGATGCTAAGTGTTATTCCAAGGTAAATAGTTGCAGGGGACAGAGCTGAGAGAGAACTCAGTCACACCCCAAGGACCATTCTCTTAGTGTCTGTCCAGCTCACCTTTGCTAAAAGAGCTCGATTTTCCAGCCAGCGCTGCCATCCTATCCCAGCTCCCCTTGCACCCTCTGAATGTTCTCCTTAGCCTTCTTCACCTGTTCTGCTTGCCCGCCTCTCTCTTCCCTGGACTCCCTCTCCAGCCTTTCCAGCATCTGCCTCCCCAGCCACACCGCAGCTGAGCAGCAGGAACCCAAACGGGGCTGAACTTGCACCAACTGACTTTGCCCTGCTTGTAAGTTTTTCTAGACTGAGCTAACGCCTTCCTCGGCTGCCTGCCCTCTTTCCTGCACACTGTGACCACGTGCCTAAATACTATGACCTTGGGCAAATACAGTGTTTCCCAAACCGCTCTCATTCCCATTTTCTCAGGCTCTTTTTTCATCTTTGTGTCCCACCAGGGTATTGTGTGCTCATCATTTACCTGATTCACTTTTAAACTTTATATCTGAACCTCAGTGAAAAACGAGTATTGCTTGTGATTAGAAGTGAAACATGCAAATGAAGACAAAAGAAAAACACTGCAGATGAATTCCAGCTTGGCACACTTCCTCGCCTATAGCTGTTGGGACTGAGATTCATTCTCTCTCTTTGTTAGAAGGGGAGGCTAGCCACCGCTACGGAGGCGTTCAATCCCAGGACCAAACTGAGACTCTCTCTCTCTGTGACCTATTTAAAAGGATTCAAAGAGAGTAAGTTAAGCAAGATTCAATGAAGATCACCTAAAATTATCTTAAACAAATGATTCCCATCTTTGGAAAACAGCAGTGGACGTCAGAATTCAAACCCAGAGCAAGCTGACTCCAGGCCTGTGGCAACCCCCTCAGCCAGTGCTCCCTATGCCTCTTACCAGGAAAGTGGAGAAGATAAGGCACCCGTGGGGGAACCAGAGTCAGCTTCCCTAGGGATAAGAGGTCAGTCTCTTGTACCTGGCTAGAGGACAGGACACCGGGCAGGAAGCCCCGCATTATGTCCCATTGCCCCCCCACGCTGGCATGCTCAGTCTCTAGGCTGACTGTTTAAAATCACTGCTTCTCCTGGGAGGCCACCTCCTAGGGCTTGGCCTTGACACCTTGTTTGCCATTAGTCTACCTGAAAAACCAGTGTGTTGAAGAGAAGAATGTGGAAGCCTATAGCCAGAGATGCCCAGTATGGGAAATGGTCTGTGATGGACAAAAAACCCTGCTCTCCGCTCAATGTTATGTGTGGAAATAGCCAGCAACCTCTAAGTAGAAATCCCTATTCTGTATCTTCCTTATGTATAAGCCCACATTAATCCTCAGCATCAGACTGCCATAGGACCACAGAGATAAACATCCCAAAACTATGAACTGTTTGCTCAGCCTCTTGAAGCCATCAGGGCATCAACATCCGCTTAGTTGTATGGAATTCTCTTGATGTTCCCATGTAACCCTGCAGGATGATTTGGTCCTCTGACTACTCCCTGTGTCCTTTCTCTAGTAGAAAATGACTTTGAATTGCAGTTTCTTAAGCAATAGTGAAAAATAGGCATTGCCTTCACCAGGCACAGGCAGAACCAACAGTCCAAGGGTTGCTGAATGAGGCTCCCTCCACCTGACAGATCTCTGATGAGGTGGAAATCCTTTGGCTCCAGGAATTCAACATCTGTCTTCTGCTTCGGTGGATTTATGCCGTGGCTCTCTACACACTGGGCTGAGTTCCGGGACGCAGCTTTGCAATGGCTCTTTTAGTCTCTGTTCTGAATCACATCAGAGGACAGTGCATCTCTACCGCTTATCTGTGCATCTTTCCTGGAGCATAGTAATTCTTCATGTAGGTATTTAACACTTGGGTATGCTGCCTCTACACACCCATGTTGAGTTTCCTACTTA